AAAAAAAAAAAAAAAAAAAAAAAAGATTACGTGACGGAGAAGGGTCTGATGGTCAAAGAGTCAACGTTTAGGAGCGGTCCGACGTAACGGGGAGAGAAAAGGATGTGGCACGTGGGGAAGACCGTCCGCACGTGTGGCGGGAGTACAGTGGTTAAAAGTTAAAACGGGGCGTTAGCGAGGGTAAAACTGGAAATGTGTGGTGAAGTGGTGGGTTAGGTTAAATTGTGAAGGTTAAAATGGTGACCTAACCGAGTTAACGGTGTTGACGTCGGTTGGAATAGTTTTTATAATTTATTTTTATAATTTTTAATTTTGAAGAAAGTCTATAAAGAAAAGCCATTTCGTTGGAAGCTTACTCCGACTCCATTACTGCGTTCTCCAACTTCTTCTTCTTGTTCTTCGTCTTTTTCGTTCTCATTTCTGAAAATTTTTGTCTGCATTTGGACGCAAAAGGAATTGGAGTTTGGAGGAATGGCAATGGCGGAATCTGGAGGGTGGATTCGTTTGTTTCTTCTCGTGGTGTTCATGTTGTTCGTCGGAGCAATTGCCAGAGTTCCCAAAGAGATTCCTGAAATTCAGTATGAATCTCTATCTCTCTCTTTAATTTGTGGATTTTCTGTTTCTTTTATCTTAATTCTTATCTTCGTCGGCGATTTCGCCTCCTTCTCTGTTATTTGCTCTGTATTTATGGATCCGAGTTGTCTCTGTTGTTCTTTGTATAGTTTTCGTTTGTTCTTCCTGATTCTGTATCCATTTTAGCCACATTACGTGAGTAGACGCTCGATTTTGAAACGGTTTTGGAGTTTTGATGTTTTCTAACTTCGATGATTCTTCAATTTAGTGTTTGCGGTTGAGTTTTCTCAACTACATTGTATTAATGCTGTTTCACTCAGAGCTTTTCATCTCTCGTTCTGGTTCTCATTTACAACTCATGTACTTTGAGCCGCTGAATTTATGTTTCCTTTGAGAAAAGGGCTCGTCCTTGGTACCAATTTCTGGAATGTATTATTGTCTTGTATTGTATATTTCGACCTACCAAACATTTCAGTATAGAGACAGAGAGAATGACGAGGGAAGATGGAGAGTTCAATAAGCTATTCCTTCAAACTTTTATTTCTCCGTTTTTTATGTTTCAAACTTGTGATTTCAATAAATTTTGCAGTAATGAGGCAACCGGGAAGTTGCAGAGCTCAAGCAACTCATCAATGGCAGTGAGGTGAATAATTTTTCTTTTTCCTCTTTTATTTTCAATGAATAAGTTCAGTTGAAAGAATAAATGCGGCAGATTCAGTACCTAACAAAACCTTTCAACGTTAATACCCTTCCTACCTTCCTCTACCTGAACTGATCTCAACCGTCTGTTTTTTGGCCTCTCTCAACTCCCTTACAAATCTCCATCGCTTGGATCTAGATCCCTGCATCTGAACCGTTTATTTCGTTACCCTTTACTTCTTGGGATTCCTCTCCTTCAGTAACAAATTTGGACGTCCTCCCAGATTTGCAACTTTTTCCCTTTTATGTCGTTTGTTTGTTGTGCTAAAAAAGGTTATGACATTTTCATGTGTGAGAGTGTGAAAATAGCCTTTTCCCGCTCGCTCTCTGTTCTATATTGGCTCTTAGAAAAGATACTTTCAACGGTTTTTTGAGTATCTTTTTTCCACCTTTGAGTGCTGCACAAGATTCACTATATTGGACACTGAACTACGCGACGTGAAAAGAAAAAACGCGTTACATTATGCCACTCTCTTTTCTTGCGCTCCCTACCTTTGTTGCGTTGCCACGTTTTGCTTTATGATTTGCTGCTTGCTGGGATTTCCTCAAAATTGCATGTGCCTCCGTCCTTGTCAAAATGCATTATTGTCCTTGCCAAATATCCATATCCTGCCTATCAACTGTCAGTTCTGAAGTATCGTTTCTGTTGGTAATTTCAGGTTGGAGGAGCCTGAGGCTGAGACTCCTGGCAATAAGCATGCCGTGGACAACCCAGACGAGATCGCTGCTATGGTTGACATGTGGGTCCTCTTTTCCTCTTCATGTAGATTATAAATATATGAGATAATACCATGTATAGTCTAGAATTTGAATTATCGGTAGGAAAATTATGGGGATGTGAAGGTTTAGGAATCAAATTTTGAAGGAAAATTAAGTAAACCTGTCCAATCTGACCAAATTATTACAAACCCACCTAAAAATGATCACTAATAATATGAACATGGCCACTTTTCTGTCCTGAAACGTCAGATTTTCGGTAGATTGAATCCTAATTCCAGAGTTGAAAACCCCCTTTTCATTTTTCGTCTCTCCTTAACGTTGCATTAGATTTTTCACCCAAGTGTCCGTTTATACCTGTCTATTTCATTCTGTTGTTACTGTTTGGTCTTATTTCAGAACAAGACAGTTGAATGTGGATCCATTTATTTTCTAGGATCTTGCTATCCAGTCCATGTGGACTTGTAATATGAGGCAAATTAACTTTTAAGTTGATTTGGACGAGTTTATTGCAAGTGGTAATTGCCCTTGAGTGGCCCAGTAGGCGACAAGGACCCGAGAAAATAGGCCACCAAACTTTCACCCATCAAACTGAATAGTCTCACATATTGACAAATAGGATTGCCTTTTTTTATGGCTCCCATTATCCCGTTCTTTTTTTGGGTCTAAATTTAATTATACAAGAAATTTACCCCCACCGACGCTGCTAGCAGGAGTTTCTGCTGTGATTTCCGCCAATAATGTGCTAATTATAGTTACATCATTCTTTAAGAGTTTTATACCACCGAAGATTAACCGTTAGAAAAATTACACTTGATCAGGAGTATCCGCAATGCCACTGCGAGGAGAGAGCTTGGTTTCTTCTCGTGTGGAACCGGCAATCCTATTGATGACTGCTGGCGCTGCGACCCCAATTGGCAACAGAACCGCAAACGTCTAGCAGATTGTGGCATTGGCTTTGGCCGAAATGCCATTGGTGGTCGTGATGGTCGATTCTACGTCATCACTGACTCTGGCGACGATGATCCTGTCAACCCAAGGCCTGGCACTTTGCGACATGCCGTTATACAGGATGAACCTCTCTGGATCGTGTTCAAAAGAGACATGGTGATACAGCTGAAACAGGAGCTGATCATGAACAGTTTCAAGACAATTGATGCACGTGGGTCCAACGTGCATATTGCTAATGGAGCTTGCATCACAATCCAGTTTGTGACCAATGTTATTGTCCATGGTCTAAACATCCATGACTGCAAGCCCACTGGAAACGCCATGGTAAGGAGTTCACCCAATCACGTTGGGTGGAGAACAATTGCTGATGGGGATGCCATTTCCATTTTTGGGTCAAGTCATATTTGGATTGATCACAATTCCCTCTCTAACTGTGCTGATGGCCTCGTTGATGCTGTCATGGGATCCACCGCAATTACCATCACCAACAATTACTTCACCCACCACAATGAGGTATCCTCACTTCATCCATCTACTCGTTTCCTTCTTTTTTTGTCCCCATTTTTCGGAGACAGTGCATCACGCTGTGTGTTTTATGAACAGGTGATGTTATTGGGGCATAGTGATTCTTACGTTAGAGATAAACAAATGCAAGTGACCATTGCTTACAATCACTTTGGAGAAGGACTCATCCAAAGAATGCCAAGGTACAATCTTACTGTTCATCATTATTGTCCTTTTATTCATTTTAAGCCACCACAGTTTTCTGAAATGTCAGCTTCAAGCTGCCATGTCTTGATGACAACCAGATACGTAGATAGATATTGGCTTAAAACTCTGTTCAGCTAAACGATTGTGTTCAGCCATTTATAAGCAAGAGAACAATATTGTCATCCGAACCCGTTTTCAATCTATAACAAAATGGAATCAATTTGATCTATTATTCAGGTGTAGACACGGATACTTCCATGTAGTGAACAATGATTATACTCACTGGGAAATGTACGCCATTGGTGGAAGTGCAAATCCAACCATCAACAGCCAGGGTAACAGATATGCTGCTCCAACCAACCCTTTTGCAAAAGAGGTACTAATACTCTTAAAAATGTTCAAACATCATCTATTAGTGATACACCTCGTCTCATTTTAGTGTTCGATTTGTCTTTCTTTTGATGAACAAGAAGATACCATTAATAATAGCTGTAAAAAAGATTAACCACATCAAATTTTTAAACTTTTATGCTCGAGTTTTTCCTCACCATTGTTTTTTTTACTGAATCAACCACTTTCTGCAGGTGACCAAGAGAGTTGAGACAGCTGAATCTGAGTGGAAAAACTGGAATTGGAGATCAGAAGGAGACCTATTGATGAATGGTGCCTTTTTCACTCCATCTGGTGCAGGGGCCTCAGCAAGCTATGCTAGAGCCTCAAGCTTGGGAGCAAAATCTTCATCCATGGTTGCTACCATAACAGCCACCGCCGGTGCACTTTCCTGCCGGAGAGGCCATCCCTGCTAGCATTCAGATCCCTTTGCCGATCACAGAACACCCCCTCTATAGTTTTTCTGTGAATTTTTCAAATATTTACTTACAAATAGCCTTACCTTACCTCAATCTCCATATTCTATCTCCTCTATCATATCTAAAAACAAACAAGTGTACATTTTTATCTGTCTCATTACAGAGACGTTTCCCATTCAAACACCATCCCAGTTTGCTGTTTGTTGAGACACCCTGAAATCGCTCAACCTCGGCCTGCTTCAACTTCAAAAACACACCATTTGCCATTCAGCAAGCAGGTGCGGAAGCGTTGTTCTTGTGTTCATTTATTCCCCACTTTTCTTCTTCCCAATCCGTTGCTCCTCTTCCTTCAACTATCATTCTTACCCACTATGTCTACTATCTTCTGGTTCTTATAGGACCAGAATCATTTGAGTGTTTTATTTACATTTTCCTTCCTTTTTTGTATTTTTTGTTCTTTTTCTTTCTTTTTACACTTTGTTCTGTTTTGTGATACAATCTCTACACTATGTTTGTCAAACATTTAATTATCAAAGCAAAAGTTTGCTAAAGATGATAGCAAATATTTGTTGATATGTCTTTGTCTATCTTCCACCTACTTTTTCTCTTTTTTAATTAACTTCTTGAAGGTAGATAGTTGTAAGGTATTGGTTGAGAGGTGATGTGAAATAAATTCATTTGGTTGAATTTTGAAACCCATATATTTTCTTTTCACAAAGAATCATAAATGTAAAGAATTATTGATAGACAAATTAAATACGTTAGGACCCTTTTTATAAAAAAAATAAAGAAAGAAAAAGATTAACTTTAACTTTTACTTTTCTTTTGATACTTTAAAAACAATTTTGTAATGTTAACTAAATATCTAAAACAAAAGAACTTTGAAAAGATAAGATTTTGATAGTGATTATTGAAGTTAGATACTGAGGATTAATATGTTAATAAAGAGTTAATGAACATTGAGATCTTGTTTTTCTCTTGCTCATAGTTCATTCATTTTCTCTACAAGGAAACTAAAATGATTTCTTGGAGTGGTCAAATTGGAAGTCAAAGACAACACCAAATAAAAGTAGTATGCAAGAAAAAAATCATATTAGAAAACAATTCCATGCCCTTTGTCATGGGGCATCAAACATTTGACTATATTTTAGGTATGATGAACCTCAATGGCAGTAATCATTTTCATGACACTAAAAAGCTTTGATCTTTCGTTGACATATGCCAGTAACTTATCCATCCAACAAATTTACAAGAAATAAAATAATAAAACTGACTATTTTGTTTTTTAATCAAGCCCTCTAAAAAATTTAGATTCAAAAAAATAAAAGAAAAAAGTTCAAACTCAGAGAGTAAAGAATTGAACCTTTCATCTTTCAGTCAAGCATAGAACGTCTCAATTATTTAAGTTATGCTCAAATCAACCATAAAAATTGCACCTTATTTTGTTCAAATATATGCTAAAGGAGAAAGAGGAGAAATGCTATAACGAACAAATTTTTGACAACTAATACTTTGATGACAATCTGTAACGGCCCAAGTCCACTGTCGGCAAATATTGTTCTTTTTGGACTTTCCTTTTCGAGTTTCCCCTCCAAGTTTTTAAATCGTGTCTGCTAGAGAGAGATTTCCACACCCTTATAAAAAAATGTTTCGTTCCCCTCTTCAACCGGTGTGGAATCTCACAACATCTATTTCCTCTTAAATGAGCTAAGGAGGGAGAAAATATTTTAAGGAAGCAAAGTGTAATGATTCATTCCATGAACTAAATTCAGCATATGACCTATTCTACCACACATGGTAGCCTTATGCTCAACTTTACAACTGATAAGAGACTGTGAAAGGGCACCATATACTCAAAGAAAGCAACCTCCCACCACCTTGCATTCTGGTTCTACACATACACATGGCTTCCAACCTTTCTCTATCTTCCATTCCCTTTTTTCTTTAATACAGGCAGAAATTAGAGAGAAATTTTACGCTTTTGGTTGGCTCGACAATATGTGAGTTGAGGTGAGGTGAGAGATTACATTAATATGTATACGGAAGTTCTGTGAGAGATTCAAAACTTTAACCTTTCAATCAAGGTGATTATTTCTTTACCCCGGTTGAAAAATATGTTTCTATGTTTCATATTTCATAAAATAAGATCCAAACTGAAATTAAGGTGAACTTATAAGTGCTAAAGATGCTAAAGATGTAACTTAATCTAAATAATTCTAATGTATGCAGCCACCAATTAGATTTTATTAAGATAGACATGACAACTTTAAATAAATAACACTTTCCAAAAACTAGCATGATAACACAAGACAACTTAATAACAGAACTATTTCTTTCACTTTTATAACTGGGGTAAAGAATTTTAATGACAACTATGTCTTCATCTAAACAGATGGCATTGGGCAAATGGGGTCTCCAATGAACAGAGCAGAAACTGATATCATGAAAACAGTGGAGAGTATTAATTTCCATCATGGATGATGGAAAAACAAATAGGGAAGCATGTGAGTTGGGCCCATTTGGCTACTGCTAGGTAGTAGGGACTGTAAACGTAAATCCGTACTATAATGGGCCCATTTCCATTTCTGGGCCCAAAAGTTTTCCCAAATGGATATGAACAAGGAGACACTGAGTAGAAAGGATGAACATTCCTTTTCAGTTGCAAATGCAACTCCTCAGCCTCAGACATGCACTTTAAAGATGCTGAGTTGTTGTCTCCCCATTCCATCCTAACCTCTCTTAATATTTCTCCCAATCTACTGCATTGAAAGCAAGCTATGCTTTATAACAGTTATCGATGTTTTTTCTTCTCTTTATCCATCTTCTAACCTTTCATTTATGCATAAATAACAATTATTGTTGCAATTTAGATGAAGAAACTATTCTCGTTTATCACATCTGACACTGTGATTTCTAAATTGGAATTTTAGAAGAGCATTAAAGCCAAAACCCATCATGGCAACATGGCTTTCAAGCTCCAACGATCAGCACAGAAAATTCTAATTATCACTGCAAAAAGTTTGTAAATAGTGTGTTATGACAGGACAAGATAGAGAGAACCTTTAGTCTTGGATCTGGTAGGTGTAATTAGCTTCAGCAAAGTGAGATTTCACCAGAGCAAGAGCACGGTAGCGATGAGATATCTTGTTCTTTTCTTCCTTGGACATTTCAGCATACCTATGAAATAAAGTAGAATCATAAGAATATGTTGCAGACCTTTTATTTATAACTTGATCGTATTTGTTGTAGTATGATTCTACAATGAGAGGGAGGGATAGATAAGCTTACGTTTGATCATAGCCATCAGGTTGAAAAATTGGATCCCAACCAAAATCATTAGGGCCTCTCGGAAGAACAATTTTTCCCTAATAGAGCAAGTAATGAGGACAAATGTTTAGTGCAACAAAGGAAGAACCCGGAGAGAACTCATTTTCATACAGTGTTATTTTGAGAACAAATTTTTCTGAGATCAATGAGTGAAAACTAGACAAATATGTATAAGAAGAAAAGGAAGTGAATAAGGAATAGCATCATCGTCCGAGCAATAATATTCAAATACCAGTGATTAATCTGTAGCTACCTGTGTTGGACAAAAGAATTATAGGTCGCTTCGTTGTCCTATTGCTATATGTTCTTGACTGCCAATACACCCATGAAATGGTCTTTGGCAACATTTACGCAACCACTGAATTTAAAGTGATCTCAACTTGATAGCTTCTTCTCCTTCTGGCCTTGATTTACCGACTTCTCCAACAACGGAATCCATTTGTTCATCTCTTATAAAAAGAATTGTTGTTCATTAACTACCAAAAGCAGCAACTATTCGTTCTTACACTAATGTCCCAAATTGTTTCCAATCAAAGACTTGTATGTATGTATGTCCCTACAACCAGAATTTATCCAGAACTCCCAAATTAGACCCTTGAGAAGCATAACCTCACGAAGTTGTGCACTCTTGGGATGGCCAGTAGATCGCTATCATAAAAAACTGTGATTTCTAGCTTTCATACTTGCACTTAAAACTAATGTTTCCTTCCATTTGCCTTAACCACGCTTCTCTTTGACGTTATGCTCAATCAACTTTTGTTCTATCATATCCAAACTAAATAGCATTGCTATATATATTACCCAGCCACAATGTAAAATTCACAACCTCATATTAGCATTGATACACTCAATACCCAGCTGCAACTATCTGTTCTAACACTAAAGCCCAAAATTAACTAAACTAATGCTTCCTAGTGACAACTTGTGATATTCATATTAAATCTCTTTCTCCTCTTGATGATGATAATGAATTTGATGAAAGAAGAGGCATTATCATTTTCCTACTTTTTCCATTAGCATTTAGATTTATCTCCAAAAGGTTTCTTCCGTCACACAGTAAGACACTAAAAGCATATTGGGTAGTGATTTTGAAATTTCTAAATCATTTTTGTCAGGTTCAAAATCATTCCAAAACATGTTTTTAATCATTCAGAATCAATTTTGATTTTATGAAAACAATGTTTAAAAATGTAAAACAAACATTAAATTGATTTTGAATCATTAAAAGTATGTTTGGAGTGATTTGATCACAACAAATATAATTGACAAAATCACTCTCAAACATGTCCTAAGAGATCTTCTACAAATAACTTGAGCCCAATATGACCTATCAACTCATCTTAAGAATCCAACATTGACTTTCAAGTTACTATATGTCGAGGTTCTTCTTTTGGCCATGTAAGTTACTATATGTCTACAAAATTCAACTTCTAAACATCGTACTTAAAGAGAGAAAGAAAGGTGTACTCACAGAATTTTATTAGGATAAATGTTGGGAATATTGTAAAGATATGAAGTGATTATAAAAATAAACTAGATTGGAGGAGATTAAACTTAGAATAAAAATATCCAAACTTACGAAATTATTTTGAATTGAGATAATTAAAACAACTGATTGGAGAAAATACTGCTCATCGTATAGTTAAGTAGGAAACTGTACAATTTCATACCGGAGTATTTCCCACAAATGTGATGGGTTCAGCTTCAGGCCCAAGAGAAAATGAAAAGATGCATGAAGCATATGCTGACTTGTCCTCATATGCCAACAACAAATTGTTCAGGCCTGCAAAAGAGAGATGTAAGCAACACTTGGTTGCAATGACCAGCGTATATCACTGCCACTAAATAAAAGAAAAATGGTAAAGGGAAAAGCTAGTATGATGACAAGTACGACCTTCATGACCAATCTTCTCCAGGAACCACTTGCTGCACAATTAAAGCCACCAGATGATTAAAAACTTAATACACGTCTTCTGCAAACTCAGCTGAGATCCATGCGAAAACAAACTTGGATAGATCTCAATTAGTTTTGTTAAATTAGAAATGGAGAAAAAGAAAATATTATTTGAGTAATTAGGGGAATCAAATTCTAATTCTTCCAGGATGTGCCATCCTTGGACAGAGAAAGACCCTTTGCTCCCTTGAGAATCGTATGAATCCTTCCATTGTTGAATTCTTCTATAACTTTCTTTAATATATATATGATGACAACATAGTTATGGTTCAAGTAATATGTAAATAAGAAACAAAGCTTCACCTAAGAAGGGGCATTGATAGTGTAGCAACTTACATGTATGGCCCTGAAAAAGAGAAAGATAAACATGTTAATGATTTGAGCATATACGCTTGGAAGGGGAATAGGTTTTCAAAAATGAAAAACACTGAATACCTGGTAGACCCTTCAAAGCATTAAAGCAGAGGCATGTATCTTCCACAAGAACCGGCCCGTTAACCTTCCATTTATCAAATCCGGCAACTCCAAATCAGTCAAAAAAGATAAAATAACTCCTCTCTTTTGTTTTGATTCATCTGAAGAGTGATTCTTAATCGAATGACGAAAATGTAAGAGAAAGTGCACCTGAATAGCTGCCAATCGAGCTTTCTCTTTCGATATATCTTCTGGTTCGCCTTGCAACTCCGGCACTGATTATAATAACACAACAACAACAATAAACAAATGCTCAAAAGATCAAAAAACTAGGATAAAGTAAGAGAGAGAGCGCGCGCGCGCGAGTGTACAATCAAGCTTGAGAGACCGAAAAGGAACGGAGTTGCCCAAGATTGCTCGAACTTCCTCGAGCTTCTTGGCGTTGCCGGTCACAAATGTCACCGGCCGAGGAAGCACCATTCCAATTCTTGAAGCAGCAACTGTTGCCATTCTGCTTCAGTTGCTCTGATTCCCGATGACGAAGACCAAATTATTCAGCTCAAGGCGCCAATTCTTACACCCTAATTTAGGACGAGGGTTTTTCAACCTATATTTTAATTATTTTAGCGCTTACAACAGTTTTCAGTTTTTTTTTTTTTTTTTTTCAAATTTCTTTAGAATCTCTATATGATAAATTAGTATTAAAATTTATTATCTAAGGCGCCAACTAGGCGTACCTTCCTTTTTCGGTAGCTCGACCATAAAAATTTAATGGTTAAGCGACTCATATTGGTATGTGGGAATAGATTTCATTCTTAAAGAATAAGGAGTAGGTAATATGACTATGTCGTATGGGATGCAGGAGAATATCAGGATACACGTTGCTGAATTCGAATTTTGAATCCCGAGCATCGATCGTTACAAATAGTATCAATATAGACAAATGACTCGTGTTAGTATTTGGAAATAGTCTTCACTCTTAATAGCGAGAAATAGATAACGTGCCCATTGTGAGATCTCATATCAATTGAACGGAAAATAAATATATTTTTTTTTATAGGAAATTGTAATATCTGCCGGCAATACCTGGAGCTAAACACGGGCAATGTCTATTGGGCCCATTATAAACCTACTAAAAGCCCAAATATCCACGCACAAATCGAGGCCCAATTGTGGTTAACTAATGGGCCGAGTACTTGGCCCATCTAAAAATTGTATATTTTTAATAAATGCCACGTGGAAAGATTCCACTTGGAGTTTCTCTAGGCAGTGACCCTAGAATTTAGGGAGCATTTAGGACGACAAAGCGCCATCGTCAAAATATATTTAATTGTTGGTACTCTGTAAATCATAACTATTTAATGATTTAAATATTATAATTTACACGTAATCCTCATTAAATATTTAATTATTTATTTCAATTTGGTCCTATAATAATTCAATTTATAAATATTTTAAATCAAACATCATCATTTCTTACCATAATTTGTGGAGTGATGTTTTTAAAAGTCGATTTTTTTAAAAATTTTGAAATTAATTTATAATTCCAACTCAGCAATTAATTAACTCTAAATTTAATATAAATGGACTAAAGTACTTAATTTAAACCTCGGTCGCTAAAATAAAATAATATTTACAAATTAAAAAATTATATTCCTTTAATATTTAATCTTCTATGGTATAATTATTAAACTATTTTCTTTTATTAAAATTTCATTTAAAAATATTTTATTAATACAAATTATTATATATTAAACATGACTTTAGGGGTTGTGTTTATTTTTAATTTTAATTTTAATTTGAATGTCACGTGGATAGGCCTAAAAATGAGGAAACCGTTGTCTTTTTGTTGAAGGCTTCGAGCAAAAGTTACAATGTCACTCTACCAGACACTCAATTATTATTCAAATTTTATTTATTTATTTTAATTTTCTATAACCTTTCAATTCTTTTGATGAATGTGAGTTGTATGATTTGATTCTTTACTTAGGATTTGATATTTCACGTGAGTTTCACGTGGGTGGGTATGGTTATAATTTGCTTGTGAAGGTGATAAATGGGACCGTTTTTTATTTTTATTTTCTTAAAATGGTTGGTGTATATTTGGGAAATTTTGTTCGTTACTCTATAGATTTATATGCGTTTATTTAAATTTGCATTTTAAAATATTTATAAATTATATATAACATAGACCATAGATGAAGAGATACATGAATGAACAGAGTATAACAGATACCATAGATGAAGGAATCATAGGAACTTCATGGTTAGACGTGTTTTAATTGAAGAACTTTTATGTTTTATGATATTATGGGAATTTTCTAGAGGTTCATGTGAGTTAAGACAAAACATGTTGGAACGACTCGTGTTGGTCTATGGTGATAGTTTTTACTTTTAAGAAACGAGTAGGTAATCCAAGCATGCCCTAGAGGGACACAAGGGAATGTCGAGGCCATTAGGTGCAAAATCCAAAATATGGGCATGAGTTGTTACAAATGGTATCAGAGTAACGCATCTCCTAATACGATGTGATTCGAGGATGAACTAACACGAAAACTGATGGGTGAAGCTGGTGGACATGTGACGTTCGAGTAAAAGTGGTACATTAATGAACTGAGACTACATCTGAACGAGAGAATTCTTGAGGAGATGCAATAAAATATCGAAAATCAATTGACCAAATTGGATAATGTTCGTTAAAGTGGACCTTTTAAGAACATAGTTATTAAAATAAACAAAAGTTGAAAAAAAAATTAAGAATAAATATTTGAAAGATAAAATAACCAACAAAATTTAAAAGTAGAGTAAGTCAAAATAATATTTAAATTTGTTTAATTATTATTATTATTATTTGTTGGGGGTAGAAATGGAATTTAACAAACTTGCATTACAATTCAAGAATCTACTCAACATCAACGTCGCCTACTGTTTATAAACGGATTCTTAATTTTCCCGCCTCTCTGATGCATCAATTATGCATGCACGAATTTGGACCATCTGATCATTTTTGCTCGTTAAATCCAACGGCTCAGATTGCGACTCTCATAATTAGTACATTTATTTAAATCATACAAACCTAGGGAAATGGCAATGTAAATTATTTATTATAATTCATTTTACAATTTTAGTATTTCTATAAACATTAAAAAAAATACTAAAAAATAGATATAATTTTGGTTCATGGAGCGAAACGAGCAAGCAAATAAGAAGCAACAATGGCGGGCGTCGGCTATCTTCTTCACCACTGCAACTCCAAGCAGTTCATCTTCCTCCTCTCTTTTCGTGCCCAGTTTTTCAATATTCAATTCTCTCTCTCTGCCCTAGAGAGAGAAAAACCGAAAACAAGCATCCAAAGCGCGGCGTGGGTAGTGGGTTTGGTTTTGATAGTCTCAAGATAGTGCTCGTTAATCTTTATTTTATTGGTTTTGGTTTTGATTGATCGCCATTGATAGTTCTTCGAGAGAAACGGAAAGAGGCTGCAATATCAATGATACGAGCCCGAGAAGAAGGGTTTGGAAATTGATGCAAATGTCGTCGATGCCATCTTCGAGACAACGTTACCTCTTCTTCTTGTTCTTGTTCTTGTTCTTCTCTGTTCTTCAATGCGTTTCTTATGTCTCTGCTACCAATGGCGAAGCCTCTCTGTTGTTTTCATGGCTTCGAAGTTCTGGTAGTAGTTCTCATTTCTCCGATTGGAATGTTCTTGATCCTAATCCGTGTAAATGGAGCTCCATTTCTTGCTCCTCTCAAGGTTTTGTTACTGAAATTAATATTCAGTTTGTTCCTCTTCGGCTTCCTTTGCCTTCGAATCTCTCTTCGTTTCGATTTCTTCAGAAGCTTGTTATCTCCGGCGCCAATGTCACCGGGAAAATCCCCGATGATATTGGAAACTGCACGGAACTTACGATTCTCGACTTGAGCTCCAATAATCTTGCCGGTTCTATTCCCGGAAGTATTGGAAATCTCCGGAAGTTAGAGGACTTGATTTTGAACGGAAATCAGTTGACGGGGAGCATTCCGGCGGAGTTAGGGCTTTGCTCTAGTCTCAAGAATCTCTTCGTTTTTGATAACTTACTGTCTGGATTTTTGCCGCTGGACTTCGGAAAATTGGGAAATCTCGAAGTTCTTCGAGCGGGAGGTAACAAAGAAATCACCGGAGAGATTCCACCGGAGATTGGAAACTGCAGTAAACTGACATTGTTAGGACTGGCCGATACTCGGATTTCCGGCCGGTTACCGTCGTCTCTTGGAAGGCTTCAGAAGCTTCAAACATTGTCGATTTACACGACTTTGCTCTCCGGCGAAATCCCTTCCGATTTAGGTAACTGTTCTGAGCTTGTTGATTTGTTTCTTTACGAAAATAGTCTCTCTGGTTCGATTCCACCACAGATTGGGGAGCTTAAAAAACTTGAGCAATTGTTCTTATGGCAGAACAATCTTGTTGGGGCAATCCCCAAAGAGGTTGGTAACTGTAGCAGTTTGAGAAGAATTGATTTCTCTTTGAATTACCTCTCTGGAACTTTACCTTTAACTTTAGGAGGACTTACAGAACTAGAGGATTTTATGATTAGTGATAACAATGTCTCTGGTTCGATCCCTGCTAGTCTTTCAAATGCCAAGAATTTGTTGCAGCTGCAATTTGATAACAATCAAATTTCTGGGTTGATTCCACCAGAGCTTGGGGCTTTGTCAAAGCTTACTGTCTTGTTGGCATGGCAGAACCAGCTTGAAGGAAGCATTCCTGAAAGTTTGGAGGGTTGTAGTAATCTTGAAGCTATTGATTTGTCTCATAACTCACTCACAGGTGCTATTCCTTCTGGATTGTTTCAGCTTCATAATCTCACAAAACTTCTGTTGATTTCCAATGATATATCTGGTTCGATCCCACCCGAAATCGGTAATGGCAGCTCACTCGTGCGGCTGCGGCTTGGAAACAACCGGATTACCGGTGGGATTCCGAGAACAATTGGCAGGATGAGTAGTTTAGACTTTCTTGATCTCTCTGGGAATCGAATCTCTGGTCCATTGCCTGATGAGATTGGCAATTGCAGAGAGTTGCAGATGATAGATTTGAGCTATAATGCTTTAGAAGGTCCCTTGCCTAGCTCTTTGGCATCTTTGTCTGAGCTTCAGGTCTTAGATGTTTCATCGAATCGATTTTCGGGTCAGCTCCCGGGGAGTTTCGGGAGTCTTGTTTCGTTAAATAAGCTTGCTTTGAGAGCAAACTTATTCTCGGGAGCAATACCGGCATCGCTCGGGCTATGTTCGGGTTTGCAACGGCTCGATCTTAGTAGTAACCATTTTACTGGCAACATTCCAGTGGAGCTGGGACGGCTTGATGCTCTTGAAATTGCTCTTAATCTCAGCAACAATGAGCTCTATGGGCCAATCCCACCTCAGATATCTGCACTTACTAAGCTTTCAGTTCTTGATCTGTCAAGAAACAAGCTCGAGGGGGACTTGAAACCGCTTGCAGGGCTGAGTAATCTGGTCTCTCTTAATATCTCTTACAATAACTTCAGTGGTTATCTTCCTGACAACAAGCTTTTCAGGCAGCTAGCACCAACGGACCTGACTGGCAATGAAAGGCTCTGTTCTTCGATCAGGGACTCATGTTTCTTAATGGATGGATCAGGACTAACAAGGAATGTAAACAACGTGAGATTATCCCATAAACTTATGATAGTAATTGCCTTGCTCGTTGTTTTAACATTTGTCTTGATAATCATGGGGATTATAGCAGTGATTAGAGCAAGAAGAACCATAATTGATGATGATGATTCGGAGCTAGGGGACAAATGGCCTTGGCAATTCACACCATTCCAGAAACTAAATTTCTCTGTGGATCAAGTTCTAAGATGCCTCATAGATTCAAATGTGATTGGAAAAGGATGTTCTGGGGTTGTTTATCGTGCTGATATCGGTAACGGCGAGACCATTGCCGTGAAGAAGCTATGGCCAACGATATCAGCTGCCAGTCATGAGTATACCGACGACAAACCAAGGGTTCGGGATTCCTTCTCGACGGAGGTGAAAACTTTAGGCTTGATCCGTCATAAGAACATTGTTAGATTCCTGGGTTGTTGTTGGAACAAAAACACAAGGTTGCTCATGTATGATTACATGCCTAATGGGAGTTTGGGAAGCCTCCTCCATGAAAGAGGAGGAGGAGATGATGCCTTGGACTGGGCACTTAGGTACAAAATTTTGCTTGGTGCAGCACAAGGGCTTGCTTACTTGCACCATGACTGTGTCCCTGCCATTGTTCACAGGGATATCAAGGCCAATAATATTCTCATTGGCCTGGATTTTGAGGCTTACATTGCTGATTTCGGCCTTGCCAAGCTCGTGGATGAGGGTAATTTCGGTCGTTCCTCCAATACAGTCGCCGGTTCTTATGGATACATTGCTCCTGGTAAGCCATTCTTCCTTCAGTTCTTGTAGTTTTTTCTCTGATCATCATCTTTATTTCATATCAAGTAATGTCTATATCCAGTCTTTACTTCATGAAACTTTACAACTATATAAAACCTTTTTAAGTGTCAAGATCAAAGATGTTATTGGATCAAGCCAACCCTCGTGCATAGTCTATTGGTTTCCCTTTTCCCCATTTCATCTCGTCATTATAGACAAACTGTGAGATCCCACGTTGATTGGAAAGGGGAACGAACCATTCCTTCTAAGGGTGTGGAAACCTCTCCCTAATAGACGCGTTTTTAACTGAGGCGGACGGCGATATTTAACGGGCCAAAGTGGACAATATCTACTAGCGGTGGACTTTGTTTGTTATAAATGGTATCGGAGCTAGAAACTGAGCGGTGTGTCAACGAAGACGCTGGACCCCAAGGAGGGGTGGATTGGGAGATCCTACCTCGGTTGAAGAGGGAAACGAAGCATTCCTTATAAGGGTGGGGAAACCTCACCCTAGTAAACCGTGAGGCTGACGGCGACATGTAACGGGCCAAAGCGGACAATATCTACTAGCGGTGGGCTTGGGCTTGGGCTGTTACACAAACATATCTCGGTTTTTGACCCGATATTAAAGTCATTCTTAACCAACTCTCTTTTCCTTTCAGAATATGGATACATGATGAAGATCACTGAAAAGAGCGATGTTTACAGCTTTGGTGTCGTAGTATTGGAAGTCCTAACCGGAAAGCAACCGATTGATCCAACAATACCAGAAGGGCAACATGTAGTTGATTGGGTGAGACACAACAAAGGAGTGGGAGTTCTAGACGCAGCCCTTCTATCCAGGTCAGAGTCAGAGATAGAGGAAATGGTGCAAGTTTTAGGCATAGCATTACTGTGTGTGAACTTTGCCCCTGACGAGCGCCCAAACATGAAAGATGTCGCTGCCATGCTTAAGGAGATCAAGCAAGAAACCGACTCGAAGATCGACCTGCTCGTTGAAGGGGAGAGTACTGATGGTCAAGAAAACAAGAGGCCAAAGGGGGTGTTGGCATTGACATCCTCTTCTAAACTGGGAATGGAAAGTGTTCGTGCCACAAGCGATGGTTTCAGCCTCTCTTCTTCCTCACTGATCTACCCATCTTCCTCCATTCCCAAAATGTCATTCAAGTGAAATTCTAACTGATTTTTTCTTTTATTTTTAATTTCTTCACTCATTTTCTTAGTTACATCTTGATTTTGGTATTTGAAGATAATTATGGTTTTAAAACCCAATGTTTATTCTTATTTGTATAGTGGAGATTCCTAAATATAATCATTTAACCTCTCTCCGATATTCTAATCAACTTTAACTCAATTACCTCAATTACCATGCAAACGTTTCGGTCATGTTTATCTAGGACGTGTTGTTTATGGCCGCATATCCATTTCAAATCCCTTTAACATACTTTTATCTTAAATAGGCCTTTAATATTTCAGGTTGGGTCAATACGGAGTGTATTACTATTCACAAAAAAAAAATGTCTACATCCGTCAATGTATCAAAATATATTATACGAGATTACGACTATTTGTCACTTCTTAGTTGCCTAGTTATTTTTAGGTTATAACATTGTTTTCGACCTATTTTCTCGTTTACGTTTTTCAAAAAAATTAATTTTGAAAAAAATAAAACACAAAACAAATTATTATTATCCATGGGAACCTAAATTAATGGTGGATAAATTTAATCTTTATTCACGGTTTAACAGGTACGCAGGGATGGAGGCGATGCCGATGCGGCGGGGGTGCCGCCGGGATCAAATAACTTGGGTGGCGTTGGAGGTCTAGTTGGGAATGGACTTGGTGGAGCTGGTGGCATTGGGGGCGGCGGCAGCGTTGGTGTCGGTGGAGACGTCGGTCCGGTCAGTGGCGCTGTTCGCCCATAAGCTGTCACAAAAAAAAAACCAGCGTTGTCGTGTAGTGGTCGTGTTGGAGGTGTAGGAATTCGGTCACTGTTTTGATTTTTGCACATAAAAAGAAATATTTATTTATTTATTATTTAGTAAGTAAATAAATAAATAAATAAATATATAATAAATTAATTTTGTGTTAATATACATGCATAAAGAGGCGAAACGAGTAATATTATATATATATTTGCTGTGTTGTCAAATCGGATGGCCAAAAGGCCGCCACATGGGTAGCCAGATCAACGGTCCAGAGCCTCCTTGTCAAGCCAAGACTTGAACAACTGCCATACTCCCAAATCTCATCTCCCAAATGCTCTCTATAAATAACGATAAAACCGAATACATGCTCTCTATCCCTATCCATATCCACACATGGCTCGACCAGGAGTTTTCCTCTGTTTTTTGGTTTTGCTCGTAAGCAGTAGCTTCGCTCAGCAGCAGCCCAACGCCGACGCCGGCGGCTGCATGGAAACTATTAACAGAAGAGGCGGCGGAGGTGGAGGCGGTGGTGGCGGAGGCGGAGGCGGCGGAGGTGGATCGAGTAGTGGTCCGGGTACGGGATCTGGGTCTGGGTCTGGATCTGGGAGAGGTGGCGGGTCAGGTCGCTAGGCACAGATGAACCCTTTAGTCCGTTGGTAGACGACTTGTCGTCTCGCTAACTTGGTGTCGTTTTGTGTATATCAGGTGTATGTCGACAGTAAAGAGCGTTGGAGTATTAGCTCTGTAATGTAATCTACATATTAATGAATAAGCTGCTTGATGTACCAATGCTTTCCACTACCATCTTACTCGGGAAGCCTTTTCCGTCCTCGTTCTCGCTTCTATTTCATTTCTTATCTTTTCGAAATTTTAAAATTGGGTGAAGTTTTTCTTGAACCATTCATTGGGATAGGGTTCTCTATCGAAAATTTTATCAATTTTTTATTTTTATAAGTAAATAGGGTCGGGATGAGAAATAGGGTCGGGACGAAAATACAAGCCCCGTCTCTGTTTCATTTTGTTAGACGAACACGACTCTCCACAATTAGCCGACGTGGGATTTTCATCATCCAACACCTCCTCTCAAACAAAGTACGCCTTCTTTTAATCGAGGCTCAACTTCTTTGAAGTCTATTCCAATAGTATAATATTGTTCACTTTGATCATAAGCTCTCATCTCTTTGTTTTGAATTTCTTCAAAAGGTCTCGATACGAGAACTTGGACTCAAATGGACAATACCAAACCATTATTTGGACGCTATCATACCATTATTTGATTATAAAGCCGCTAAGCACAAAGCTCATACGAGAACTTGGACCCAAAGTGGACAATATCATACCACTTATACGAGAACTTGGGCTCAAAGTGGACAATATCATACCACTTATACGAAAACTTGGGCTCAAAGTGGACAATATCATACCACTTATACGAGAACTTGGGCTCAAAGTGAACAATATCATACTATTGTGAAGAGTCTGTTCCTCTAACACATTTATCTCAAGTCCAAGTGGACAATATCATACAACTGTGAGAGTGAACAATGGACAATGTTTATCTCAAAGCTGATACGAAAATTTGGACTCAAAGTGGACAGGATCATATAACTGTGAGAGTGAACAATGGACAATATCGTATCGAGTGAACAGACAATATCATACTATTGTGAAGAGTCGGTTACTCCTCATAAAAAATTTCTTACTATTCTTAATTTTTTTTATATGTGAAATATTATGACCATAATAAGACTTAAAATAAATATATCATAATAATATATTAAATTTATATTATTACGAAATATTTTACTTTGCATGTTACAACCGTAGAAGTAAGAAGGGAAAAAGTCACGGCGATAAGAGGAAAAATCGTTTGGGCTGTTGGGGCGGCTCACATAAAAGAACATAATTTTGGGGTAAAAATGAAAATAATGAAAAGTTGAAGGGTCATATAAAATCCAACTTCCTGGACCGGGCTTACTTTTTTACGTATCCCGAAGGCGGGAAAGCTTCGAATACGCAGACGGATGGGTTACGCGCGCCAGGAAGAGCAAGGGGAGCGATGGACGGAAGAGGGTCAAGCGGCGATTTGCTGGGCATTCTCGATGCCATTTCGTCTTCAGATGTAATTTCCGTTTAATATATTGCATCTCACTTTGAAGTTTCTTTCTTCTGGTTTTCGGAAAATGATTTTGAGTCGAATTCTATTTTGTTAGCAATGTTTCGGTTGTGATCATGCTTCAATTGTTTGTTACTACTTGCAATCTGTGGTTGAATCCGCAAGGATTCATCGGTATCCATATTTTTTCTATAATTTTTTCTTCATTTTCTGGACTAAGTCCTTCAGCATTTGCTCTCGTATGTTGTTGAATTTCTGCTATTAGATTTCGTGAACGGCAGATACTTCCTTCCAGTGACTGATTGATGTACAATTATATTTTACAGGCCGTCGAGAATCGTGTTCAGCTGCTCAATAAACTGGAGGATTTGAATTTATCAAGTAAATCAGGCTTGATTTCATTGGTCGAAAGCCTCACCGTATCCTCTCTGCGATTTCTTTTAATCTTTAATGTTTTTTTTTCTCTGGCGATTCTCATTGTCGCGTGTTTTTACGGTATGTGAAGACGAGGCATTGGCATGGCATTTACCTTTCAGATTTGCACGTAATTAGCAGCTAATTAAATTTTGACGCAGTTTTTTAATCTGTTTATTCTTAATTTTATTACTACTGAGGTCTGAAAAGTCGTTATATATTCCTCTTATGAGTAAATGCTTGTATATCTTGACGGATAGCTTGATATTTTGGGAATGTAAGAGCATGGAGATCGTTTAAGGACCATCTAGCAGGAAAAGAAAGCTTCCTGAAGGAATCGGTAAGGGAATGGAATTGCTAACTAATCGATTAAAGGTTATGCACCAGTGTCTCTCACTGTTGGAAGAAAGTCATGTCGATTCCTCAGAACTTCATAAAGAACTTTTGAATCACTTTTCTGGCCTTGAAGATGAAATATATCGGTTAAGCAGCCTGGGTGAGATTGACTAAGCCAGTCTCAATTCCAAAGGTACACTATTCTTATGGTATGGCTTACATGCGAATGAATAGAACTGTTCATAGGTTTTAGCATACTTGTGAATAAATATATTCTTGTACTGCTAGGTCGCTTTTATCTTTGTGAAATAATAACCTCATTTTTCTTTCCTTTTAGTTCAAACATTGTCTTGGCTAAAGTATATGCCTCAGTTGGTTTAGCTATGCTTTGTTTGACACTCCTGCGCTTACTACAGATGGTTATTTTTATCTTTTTCAATGTGATGGGGGACATTCATAAGCATGGTCTTTTAATCGTGGCTTCAAATTAGTGGAATATGCTCTTTTCAAATTGTAATGCCTTTTTCTTCTTTCCGTTCCAGACGGGAAAACCCAGCTAATGCCCATGGGTCGGTGATTTATGGTTCATTCCCTGCCATCCTTCTGTTGCAGAAGGAACTGAATGCCAGTCGTTCTTTTGTAGAAGGAACCGAATGCCAGTTTGCATAGTGGAACCACACTTGTCATCGGTCGTTACCTAATGAACCATATTGGTTCGTGCTCGGTGGTGAGGCAGAGAAGTAGTCCGCCTCACAGCCTTTCTTTAGTGCCAAGGTTAGAAAGGTTTTTTTTACTTCTCATCTCAGTAATTTTCTCTCCAAAAACTGTTAGGTTTGTTTACCATTGATGTTGGTTACAAATCATCTCTCTTTTAAGATTACTCAAACTTCCAATGAGATCATTATTTATGTATTGAAACCATTGATGCATTTGGCTTTATGGTCCATTTCAGGTCTAAAGTTAATTAAAGACGAGTTGACTGTAGCGAAGTCTTAGAGAAAGTAGAAACAAATAATCTGATTTGCCGAACGTGATGCATTGCTAGTGAACAGAAATTGAGGCGTCAATATAGTATAATGGTAAGGCGACTGATATTGTTTCAATATGGGAGAATTCGAACCGTCATTTTATACCCAAGTATAATTGGTCACATACTAAGGACTGTTAGACACGATAGGACCGTGACCGACACCATTTTGTTCGTAGAGTGGATAAGGCACCATATCTTTTTTTCTTTTCTTTTCTTTTCTTTTTTTTCCATTTTTTGTTCTGTAGGCTGAAGATTTGAGTTTATCTTGGAGTGTGCCACAAGTGGATTGATATAAATTATATCGTAATAGTTGATATTAATACATAGGATAGCGATAGGATGGGGGGAGTGAATTTGAGAGATCTAATTGGTGCTTCTGTGAGGCTAAACTTTTTTTGGGTAAGGGTGTCGAGGTCAGTTTTATATATTGCCGAACTCGGAAAATGGTAACCGTAGCGTTCTATAAAAAATGATCAATAACTGTTTACTTAAGCATCACTGAACAGTCGGTAATTTTTTTTTTTTTTGAAAAAAAAAGTCTGGAGTAAAGTAGACTATGTAGTATGTATGATGAACAATGATCTAGACTTTGATATACACTTTGACCGCAGCTTTCCAACCTGAAAATGTCAGCGGAGCTCACGAAGATTATTTTTCAAGGAGGTACTTTCAGTGGACCCTATAAGTACAGGTACTCTGAAATTGTTGGGTCATTATTTTCGAAGCAAGAGTATAGTTAATCGGTAATCGTCTTGAATATCTTGTAGTCCTTGGATCCAAGGGTAGCATTTGAGTAATATTCTTTTTCAGGGACCTTAGATAAAAGGAATAATTCAAATTAGAATTTGGTAGATAATTAAGCTAATGTCTTTTTAGTTTTTTTAAAACTAAACTTGTTAACGAACATAACAAGTTTGTCTAGAATTTTCACTTTTGAAACACTTTGGAAAGAAAAGCATGTTTTTCGGAACGAGCATTAGTTTATTATTATTTTATATCTATGAATGTATGATTTAGCTCATGTGAATTTTGATTATTTTCATGGAACAATTGGCGATTTTGCTACATTTAATTGCCAAGGAAACTTCATTGGACCTGGCTTTTTAGTTTAAAATTTTGATTGTTTAGATTTTTAAACCCTATTTCAATAAAAGATTACAGGATGATTAGAAAGAAAATAATTATCGAAGAGCTTCTAAACTATTATATTCAATTTTGTGAATTCGAAGTGTTTACATGAGCACTAAGATTTTCGGATGATTATAGTTTAGTATTTTTTTTTTATAGAAGTTTATAGTAATCGGAAAGTACTTTCTGAATTATTGGCGTTGGTGTTGCATAAAGCTCATTCACATCGCATATTTTGGTCCACGGTGTGATTATTAAAGGACACTGCCATTTTCTTCAGGGGGGCTAGCTTGAAAACAGTCATTTAAGATTTTCATCATTTTCCTAAAGAAAGTTCTGAACAAAATCACGCGCCGCGTCGCTGCTAGTAGGTTTGCGTCTATATGTCTTTTCCAAATGCTCGATATATAGAAAACGTGTCAAATTAATGGAGGAGCATATAATCCTCTCTTGATTTGTTTACAAGAATATCTAGAAAAGATAAAATACGGTTCTGATATCTAAGTTTTCACAACCATTTCATTTCATATTTAACACAGAATATGAATAGTGGAAGTGCATTTCACCGAACTAGTACATTCTCATCATAGAGAACGTAGATAATCTAGAATTACCATTTTGAGAGCATATAAAGCTTGAACAACACTGCCATCGTTTACACCAGAAATTTCCAATTTCCATTCTTAATGATCATGAAGATTCTCGTTAGCATTCTGATGCTCATTTTATTTCCATTCTTCACTGTTTTCATGTCATTGTTACCTCCAGAGCAACTGTATGGCATAGAATACGAAGTCCGTGTGATCAACGGCTTCACAAACAACTCCTCACTACCTCTGGTGATATGGTGCGCGTCCAAAGACTGTGATATCGGCGGGCGTGCGCTCCAGGAGCACGATGATTTCAGTTGGCCCGTCAGGACCAACTTCTGGATTACTACAACCTCTCAATTCTCATGCACTGTCAAGCTTGATCGTACAAGGAAGAGTTTTGACGCATTCAAGGTACCAAGAGATATATATCGCTGTAGTGCCCTCAGGAAATGCACTTGGTTGGTTTTAGAAGATGGGTTTTATTTCAGTGACGACGAAGTAAACTGGAAGAAGGATTTCTCGTGGTGAAGCACCAGACCAGCTAAGTTCACTCTACTCTGTTCTACTTCTTTACTAGTTTTACTTTTACTGTCATGATCTTGGCCTTTCCAAAGCTAGATTCTATAATGTAGTTCAGGAAAGTAAGGCTATTTTGTGTCATGAATATGAGTGTAGCGAAGGAATTTGAATTCCCCGGTAATCTTAGGGCAGTATTTCCTAGTAAAGGTCACCTTTGTTTTTTTTTTTTTTGTACCATGTACCTTTTGAGCTTATTAATAATAAATCAACGTTTGTTCAGTACTCCTGTGACATATAATGGTCGGTAATAATTGCATTTCATGTTATTCCGTACGTGAAATCAGGCGTTCACTACTGAAGAGTTCTCTGCTTTTTGGATGCTCTTGATCTTACTGTCTCCATTTTCCTTTTTATTTCTGTAACTTTTAGCCTATTTTTCTCTGTAGACTTGACGGAGGTCTTGGGCTGTGTTTTGGCGGTTTATTAGGAATTGATTTCTTCTGTCAAATCGCCTTTCCATAAGAAGGAATACAAGGTACATAGTGGAATTTTTTTTTTCCTTTTTTCTTTTTTTCTTTTTTTTTTTACGGGTAAATCATAAAAATGAAGACTGTAGAGGCCTAGAGGGTGTTGCTATTTAACTCAAAACCATTGTTTCCCTCTGTCAATGGTAAAAGCTTGGGCCTAATTTATTTACATATTTATTTTTACTCATTTTTGTAATCAAGATTTTGAGAAACCAGTGAGAGAGAGCCAAACACAGATGCTGAAACAGAGGAAACAGAGGGAGATTGTACAATAGGAAAAAACTAATTAAGTATCAGAATCAGCAAGTTCTTTGATTGGTCAACGATCAATCAAGCTACTTATTTCAATTCACTCTGAAATCCAATAGCATTAGCCTTTCCAGTTATCAAAATTTTTGGACTCTTGTAGTATTTATTAGGCAAGCCTCATAGTTTTGAGGCTCAATAATCTTAGACCCAGCTAAACTTTTAGAGCAATGTTTGAGGACAAAAGAGTTGTCAGGGTGGAGGAAGTAGGTCTAAAAGGAGAACAAAACTACCAAAGTTAGATGCAAAGAGAAGAGCTAGCCATTGGTTACTAAGGTTGAAGATGAAGGACAAAAAAATTCAAGAAAATGACTCAGAAGAGGAAGGATAGTTTGAGAGAAATAACATATGGAAACGTTTCTCAATATTTGTTTGTAAGAACAAATGGGAGGCAGAAGTAACAAAAACAAATTTAGGAGTGGTAATTCCATCACATTACTAAGTTTATGGTGCAATCAATCTGTTGGAAAATGGTAATTATTAAGATCGTGACTAAATTTTTTGGTTCAAAGTAGATAATAATGTTGTTTAGAAATGTGGTCTATTTTTTAGTGCCTATGTAATCAAAAGTCTGTAGGCTAAATTGAAACATCCACAATAGTGAACTGTTTGAGGATTAAATTTCCACTAAGGTGGTTGTTAGACATTTCCTCTGGTGGAGGATTAAGTTTCTGTTGGCTTGGTGGCGCCAACCTCCTATGCCCTACACAGCCCAAGATGGTTTGGAAGAAGTTAGTATCAAATTCTGTTTCCATTCACACTTGGGTAAGCCAAAGTTTCAATCCTTCTCGTTAATAGATATAGTTCGTTTTGGCTTATTAAATATTATCGTCATCCTTAAAGTTTTAAAACACATCTATTAGGGAGAAGTTTCCACATCTTTGTAACGAATATTTCATTTCCCTCTCGAGTCGATATGGGATCTCACAATCCACCTCCCTTGAGTGCCCTATATCCTTGTTGGCACACCGCTTGGTGTCTAGTTTTAGTACCATTTATAATGAGTCAAACCGGACAATATATGCTAGCGGTAGACTTGAACTATTACACCTCACCTCTCGAACTCCACATTTGTTTATGTGAAATCTTTGTTCTCATTGTTAACTTTCTAAATTTCTTTCTTAGATAGCAATAATTACAACAAGGGTCTTCTAATCTAAATGAATCCAAGCAAAGTTATAATCACCACAAATTAACCATTAGAAAAACCTATTAAAATATAATATCCTATTGTAACATCAAATCTTCTTCTTCAAATTGCCCAACTAGCCTGATTTGAAATTGGAGCATCATATCATGCAATCAACTTTTATTATATATTATCTACCAAGATTAGATTTCTTCCTTTTATTTATTTATTTATTATAATCACAATAATCTTATTATAATGTTTGATGATAGATGTTTTTGTTTGAGCTGGAGGCTTAACAATATGCCATGGTAGCAATTTTTGTTGTATCTAAAGAGAGCCAAATTGATGTATAGATGAACTGCGCTAAAGAAAATCCTCATCATGCTTTCTTATGTGGGGGGCAATTTCTATTTGAGTGCCATTTATCCAATTATGAGCCATTCTTTCACATCAGGACTGAACCCTTCAAGCAATATATCTTATACATCACATGCCTTCATTCCCATTGGGCTTAGATCCTAAAATGCACAATCATATTCCGAATGCGTTTGAGTGGGAACAATATTAGTAAAGAAGACGGTTTTTTTTTTCACCATATAAATGTAAATGTGATATGAATCTTGTCGTACTTACCACACGCCTCTAGTTTGTCCAAGTTACAAGATTTTTCTACCCGACTACTAGAACAACTCAATGAACAAAGAGATATGATAAGTAAACGGCTCCTTTTTCTAATAAGAACGAATTACCCAATTCTATCTTTCTAGAAAGTTATCTTGAAGCTTGGAGTAATTTCTATAGAAAATTTTGACTAAACTCGATCCCTTAGAGAGAGAGAGAGTGTTTATTAACAGTAGTAGTGTCGGTCATTCTTTAAAGTAGAATAAAACAAATCGCATATCATGCGTAAAAGAAATCTCTTTAAAAGTTGGATTGGGTTTGAGTGGTTTCCCATATTAGCAAAAATGACATTTTGGTTCACAATAGGATACTTGAATTATTGTTATCAACATAATGGTCGTACAAGAAAAAATTATACAAATTCGGTCTTTTGCTAACCACACAACTCAAAATCTTAAAAAACTAAAAAAATCCTATTGTCCCAACTATTAAACCAATTAAAAAAAAAACGAGTCAAAGTCATGCAAAAACCAATGAAATTATTCAATTACATATTTCCAAGAGGTTAGTCCAAAGTCGGAGCAACTTCTATAGTAAATTTTGACTAAACCCGATCATTTAATAAAGGGTGTGTAGAAGGTCTTTTTGAGTAGGCGTCAATCCCTTAGTAACTATTAACATGGAATCATTTTTTAAAAGTTGGAGGTTCGAATAAAAGAAATATATATATATATATATTTTTTTTAATAATAAACTTATTTAACTTCAATATCAAAATTTAAAAAATTAATAATAATAAATTACAATAATATGGGGAATTCCAAATTTGGTCAAATTTTTTATTAAAATCAAATCTAGGTATAATAATTGATTTTTTTAGGTTCCTACAGCCCTATAGTTGAGAAAACAAATATTTATCGGTCAACTTTTAAAATTAGAAAAATAAATAAATATATATATATATATATATATATATGAACAGTGAAGTGTTCTGAGTGATGGCGACAGACGAAAATGTAGAACAAGAAGATGAACAGTCTCTTTCTGCCGACGGGCAGCCCAATAACACATTACGGGCAGAGGATCCATCGTAGGGAAGTAGATTGTGATATTGCTTAAAACATTAACATTGTTTTTTTTACTAATTCTATATTTTTTTTATAATGCATAGATATGTCCATTCAACTTGTAGGAATAGACTTCGTGGGGACTTTTCCAGTACGTAGTGGAGAATCTCGCGTAAACGAAGATAGGAGAGGAAGCACAGAGAATTTTTTTTTCGTTTACTAAATGGGGGTGAGAGCGGGGATTACATTCCTCATCCTCGTCTCCAACCCTGCTCCAGTCTCCATCCTATCCCAGGGCCAAGATGGAGACAAAGAAGCCAGCCCCCATTGACATCTCTAACGACATGTCTTAATCAAACGAAGAACGTTGAATTAAAAATTTGATTTTTTTTAGTACAACAAAGGTAAAGAATTTGGGTGAAGAATAGAAGATTTCGTTGTCAGCTATCAACTTGGGCAAAGAATTGGAGTGAATAGTTTTATAAAAGTCAAGAGATTATTCTGTTCACTAATGGCTCTTTCCAAGGCCATTCTTCCACCAAATCTTGCATATCAAAATCTAATTTGACTTATAAACAGAGCCCTATGCATCGACATAGTGAGATCTATCGTATCTCATTTGCTTAAACTTTTAAGATTATTCACGACTTTACACATAAGAATAGGAGATTTTGAGTTTGAACTACTATAATGTTGATTTCCACTCGATAGACGTTCTATAAATTTTCAAGTTGACAAGTGAAGGAGAGTGTTGAAGTATTGAAACAATTAAATTTACTGCAACCCGACATCGACTTAAGGTTTTAGGTTGATTGGAGCTGTCATATCTAGAAACCCGTTTGTAGGAAATATTGTCCTATTTGAAGTTTCAACACCCTTATAAGGGTTTTCTCTTTCGGGCTTCCTCTCATGGTTTTCCGTTTTAAAACCGTTTCCACACCCTTACAAGGGCTTTCCCTTTCGAGCTTTCTCTCAAGGTTTTAAAACACGTCTATTAAAGAGAGATTTCCACACCTTATAAGGAATGTTTTATTCTACTCTCCAACTGATGTGAGATCTCACAATCCACTCCCTTGGAAGCCCAACGTTCAGTTCAAGCACACCCCTAACAGATATTGTCCTCTTTGGAGCTTTCCCTTTCGGGTTTCCCCTCAAGGTTATAAAACCTGTCTATTCGAGAAAGTTTTCCACATCTATATAAGGAATGATTTGTTCTCCTCTCCAACTGACGTGGGATCTCACAGTAAAAACAAATATAAAAGCAAATCATACGATCACCCATTTGAGATATTAAACGTTCTAAGAGTAGTTTTGAGTCAAATTTAAGGACATTAGGATAGGAACTGAAAGGAAGAAGTTCTAAGAGTTTTATTGATAAGACTGATAGTTTTACATACAGAAAGATGGTATTACCAACTGTACATGAAAACTGTATAAGTTTCTTTAACAAAAAATACAGAATTGGAGAATACGTATCTTCAACCAATTACCCCCAAATACTCAAAACTCAATGCACATATTTTCAAAAAAGAAAAAAAGGCTATGAAACCAATCAATTTCCTGTTAGAAAAAATATCAGGAGGACCAATCAGCAATTATAGCAATCTTCAGCCATCTTATGGAA